TGCTGCTGCTGCTTCATAATAACACCTTCACACTCACAATAAGATAGAGTTATTCTGATTTTTAACTATGAGTGTTAATTAATCATTCAGGATAACCCAGGGTGGGGAAGGTTAACCACCCAGGATAACCCCACCTTCCTCATAACTAACTTACGTAAATTTCCTCATGACAGTAGTAAGATCTCATTTCGACTTCATGACAAATCATCAATAAATAACTTTATTTCAGCATTAAGTGACACTAACTAACACAGAGCTAGCCGACAGCCACGACAGTGATGTCAAATTTTTTTTACAAAAAAAAAAAATCCAAAACCTTTATAACAGGCATTGTCCAATTAAAACTAAGCAGATCACAGCAGAGACTAAACAGCTCATAGCTTACAAAAAGTATCCTTAAGTTCACTAATAAAAAAATCAATACGAAAAACAGTTCAGACTGAGCTTAATAACAAGACAAAACGATACACGTCAATACTTACTAATCTAATACGGAAGTCTAAACAACTGTATTATGCAAGCAGACTTAAAGAAGTAAAACGGGATATGAAAAAGACCAGGAAAAGCATCTTTGAAATCCTGGGCTCTAGAAAACTGTTCAGAAACAGAGATATAAACTACTAAACCAGATGAACCGGTGGCCTGGTGGCTAAAGCTCCCGCTTCACACACGGAGGGCCCGGGTTCGATTTCCGGCGGGTGGAAACATTTCGAAACGTTTCCTTACCCTATTGCCCTGTTCACCTAGCAGCAATAGGTACCGGGGTGTTAGTCGACTGGTGTGGGTCGCATCCTGGGGGACAAGATTAGGACCCCAATGGAAATAAGTTAGACAGTCCTCGATGACGCACTGACTTTCTTGGGTTATCCTGGGTGGCTAACCCTCCGGGGTTAAAAATCCGAACGAAATCTTTTGTTATCTTACAACCTGCAGACACCCCAAACAAGTTTTCAAATTCAAATTCAAATTAAAAGTTTATTCTCTATAAAGATTACAATGTTAAATTTACAAAATTTTTGGTTGTGGTGTGGTTTACAGTAGTTAAATAATGATTACAGAGTGTACCATAGAACGCCTAGCATGGCTAGGCATTTGGGGGCAGACTTAGTTTAATTCTTTATTTTAAAATATTACAAATTATGAGGTAAGTTGGTATTATGGCTAAGTGACTAAATACTAGTTTGTGAGTTTAGCAATGTGAATGCTTTTGTTTGGCACAATACATAGTTTCAGTATTGGAGTATCATAGGATTCATTATTTTAAGATTGAGATTAATATTTCTGTTTATGGCCCAAATGGGTGAGTGAGTGTAAGTGTAAACCACCAGGTGGTATTCGTGTAGTTAGTTGTGGGGTGTATCAGGGAGATAAGATTTTTTCAAATGGTAGTTTTGAAGGTGATGAATGTGTCTGCAGTTCTAGAGTTCTCAGGTGGGGTTTGTTCCAGATTTTGGGGCCCTTTGACATACATTAAATTTTTTGTAAAGGTTTAGTGTGTTTTAGTCGGACACGGGGAATTTTCGTAGAGAGTTTGTGTCTGGTGTTAGCCTGTGGGTTCTGTCACAACTATCAAAAAAGCTTTTTAAAGATCAAGGTTGATTTTGGGAGTTTAAGGTCCTGTAGATGTAGATTGCACAGTAGTAAGTGTGGATGACTGAACAGGGAGTAATTTTTAGATCTATGAAGAGTGGGGGGGGTGTTTTCCAGGATGGGATTTTTGTGATTATTCTTACTGCAGCTTTTTGTTGGGTTATTATTGGCTTTAGGTGTGTTGCTGCAGTTGATCCCCAAACACAAATAGCATAGGTGAGGTATGGATAAATAAGTGAGTGGTATAGTGTGAGAAGGGCATTTTGCGGCACGTATGTATAGTATCTTGGAGAGGATTCCCAACCGTTTTGGATACTTTTTTTTGGGTTTTGTGTTGGTATGGGTGCTGAAATTCAGGTTGTTGTCAAGGTACAGGCCTAGGAATTTGCCCTCATTATGTCTGGTAATTAGAGTGTTGTCGATCTTAATGTTAATTTGTGCATCTCCTGCTCTGCTACCAAACATAATATAGTAGGTTTTGTCAGTGTTAAGCGTAAGTTTATTGGCTGTCATCCAAGTCGATATTTTGATCAGCTCCTCGTTAACAATGGTGTTGAGGGTGGCAAGATTAGGGTGAGAGATGACATAAGTCGTGTCGTCAGCAAAGAGAATGGGTTTCAGGTGTTGGGATACGTTTGGAAGATCATTGATGTATATGAGGAAGAGCAGGGGACCAAGGACACTTCCCTGCGGAACTCCAGTATCAAGTGGCCGTGTTGTTGATGCTGTGTCTTTAATGGTGACATACTGATACCTATTAGTAAGGTAAGATTTGAAATAAGCAAGCGCATGGCCTCTTATACCGTTATGGTCAAGTTTGTGGAGTAGGATGTCGTGGTCTACTGTGTTCAAAAGCTTTTTCTTAGGTCAATAAAAATTCCTAGTGGATATTCCTTATTTTCCAATGCTGTGTAAAGCAGATCTAGCATTTTTATGATTGCATCATTAGTGCTTTTATTTTTCATGAATCCAATTGGCAGGGTTGAGTATGTTTTGTGTTGTTATAAATGAATATAGTCTCCTGTGCACGAGTTTCTCAAAGATTTTGGATAGCAATGGTAAGTTTGATATTGGCCTGTAGTTGTTTAAGTCTTTAGGGTCACCACCTTTATGTATTGGTGTAACCCTTGCCATCTTGAGTAGTTTCGGGAAGGTGCTAGTTTCTAGTGACTTGTTAAAAAGTAATTGAAATAGCATGCGAAAGGATATGGGCCGCTCGCTTGTACAGTAATGGTGGGACATTAGACAGATTCCCTGAGTTGTTTTTAAGTGACTTTATAATCTCGGTGACTTCCGAGGGCTCAGTTTGTGCAAGATAGAAGGAATTTGGGAAATTCCCATCTAGGTAGTCCCCGGCATGGGCATTGGTATGTGGGATTTTATTGGCGAGATTAGATCCTATGGTTGAGAAGAAGTCGTTTATCTTGTTAGCTGTGTCAGTGGGATGTAGTGGTGTTTCATTAAGTTTAGTTAGGACAATATTCTTGTTTTTTTTTCAGTTTGTGGGTCCCTAGAATCTGAGAGAGTGTTTTCCAGGTCTTTTTTATATCTCCTCTAGTGTCTGTGAATCTACTGGAGTAGTATAGTTGTTTGGCTTTCTTTATTACTTTGGTGAGAACTGATGAATAGTGTTTAAGAATATCTTTGTGTATTAAGCCCTGTCTATATTGCTTTTCATATTGGTGTTTCTTGCCAATGGATTTCAGAATGGTACTGGTTAGCCATGGGCAACCAAGCCGTTTGTTTGTGATCACAGACCGGGCCGCGGGGGCGTTGACCCCCGAAACTCTCTCCAGGAGTTTCTCCAGGAGAACAATGTTTGTTGTATAGTCTAAGTAATTTGTTAAGAAAAATGTCTGTCCAGTCATCAATACCATTGGCCTTGGAGAATTCTGTAGGCCAGTCAACAATCTCTAGGTCAGCTGTGAACTTCCTTATTGAGGCCTCGTCATGGAGTCTAAATGAGACTTTGTTGAATTCAAGTGGTGGCTTACTAATGTTTGTCAGGAGGAAGGTAGGGTAGTCGTCTGTAGTGCTATCTGTGATTATCCCTGATTTAAGGGGGGCTAGTATATTGGTCCATATGTGGTCTATTATGGTTGCACTTGTCTCAGTGAGCCTGATTAGTTTAGTTATTGTTGGTATGAGAAGTGTGTTGTTCATATTGTTGATGAAATCAGTTACAGGCTGATCATCTAGTAAACCAAGGTTGATGTTGAAGTCTCCAGCTAAGAGGTGGTGCTTATTCATTTGTCTGTTTGCTATTAGTGACTTTAATTTCTCACTGAAATTTGGGATGTTTGTGTGAGGTATCCGGTAAATGGCACCGATTGTTATAGGTGTCTTAAGGTTTTTTACAGTAAAATGCAAAAATGTATTCCCCATATTCATCACTAAAGCAAGTGGTGCTAATACAAGATAATTGGTTAGAGTAATAGATTGCAATACCACCCCCAACTTGGTTTGGTCTGCATTTGTGAATTGCTGTGTATCCCTGGAGAGGGGATATCTATGTGCCCTGCTTAAGCCGGGTCTCATAAAAATAAGCAGTAGAAGGGGGCTTTGTGTTTCAAGGGGGCCCAGGAGGCCCTAAAGTGTTTGCTTAAGGACCTGATGTTGTAGTTAAGTACTGATAGTTTTAGCATTGTTTAGGAAGTGCTGGTTGTGTTGCTGTGTAAAAAGGCAGTTATTTTCCCAATGGTTTTTTTTTTGGGTGTCAGTTATGGGGGTTTTGATCAGGGTCAACGTGATCAACATTTCTAGGTTTAAATTTATGGTTTTTTATATCTGAGTTGTGTGGGGTTTAGTACGATACTGTATGGGGGGAAGTTTGGATAAGATTTGCTAGAGTTTTTTGGTCTATGGTATAGTCACTACTACACTAATAAAGTTTTTTGTCTTGTTTTTTGCTGGAATAAAACAAAATAAATGGTATAAACTAGAAATATAAAATAAAAATTTTAAAATAGAACAAACTTCACTTGAAAAGCACAAAGGTCTAATTAAAAATGACTTTTTTTGGAGTCTATTTTTTTGAGCTAGAATGAGTCTAGTACAACCAGTTTTTCCCGTAGTGGTTGAGAAAAATTTGACGAGCATTTCAGTGCTGACATTTTAGTGGGAAGCCAGAGGGTTTACTTATAAACTAGTAAGCTTTGGTATTTGGGTTGTACACAGTGAAAAAATCTGTCATACGTATGCTAGAAGTGTTAAATGGCTTTCCCCCAAAAGTTAAATTTTCATTTGTAAGGCCCGTATTAAGACTTTAAAAAGGGTCAGAGTGGACTTCAGTGTACCACTCCTTACATTTTATAAAATCAGTTAATACATGCTTGCTCTGTAACTGAACTATTAAAACGGTTACATAAATTTAAATTGCTTGCCTATGTCATTTTTGTGTTTTCTAATAC